TGCTTTATTAATTCGCCCATAATAATATTACATAAATTGCCGCTACACTAATACACTACCCTAATAACCTTAATAACATTAATAAAATCGTTCGCTTATTACTTGATCACGTGACTTAACCGACTCACTTTCGTTGACCAAGTAACTGAAGCCTTAATCACCCACCAGCCAAATCTAACACGCCTCTTTCGTAAGGTTAATTCCGTCGGTTATGCAAGTTTCTGGATAGCGGAGCGACCGAGTCGCAGTTATTCTGAACCCAACATTTTGGTGGTGACTGTGAGATCCGAAAATATAAAGTAACGATGTCCGCTACCCCCCAATCGAAAAATTGTATTAGCACAAACAGACCTGAATAGACAAGAAACTTACTTAAACCCAAGTCCAAGAAGTAATATCAGCACACACTGGAAAGGTTTCTTGCACCATTTAATTCAACTACCATGAACGCCGCCCAGCTCAAAGAGTTGATAGAAAGCATGACCAAGTCGTTTGAAGACGCAGCCAAGGACATCGTTAAAGGAAATGGGTCCGGGCCTAAAGAAACAAACCATGTGAAGGTTAGAAGTTTCAGTAGAAGTGACGACGAAGACCCTATTGAATGGTTTGACGATTTTGAACGTGCTGCGGAAGCAAACAACTGGTCAGACGAAAGAAGACTCAAGATAGCTTCCGGTTACCTAAAAGGAATGGCAGCGGAATGGTACAAAGATAACAAAGCAAACATCGATGAATGGAAAGACGAGGATAATCAAGACCGCAGTTTTTACCACTTGTTGGTCACTTACTTTGCCACCTCAGAAAAACAACATAAGTGGCAGATCCAGTTGAATAATCTCGCCCAACTCGAACACGAAAAGGTGGACGCCTACGCCACCAAGTTTAAGAAGCTCCTAAGTCGGGTGGACCCAGAAGATTCATTACCCGCCCAATATATCGTACGAATGTTTTTAAGTGGGTTGAAAGGAAAAACGGCAACTTTTGTAGCAGTCACCTCTCCAGGAAACCTCAACGAAGCAATTGTGGCAGCTAGGAAGGTGGAGGCAGGCAAGTATTATGGTGCCCACACACCTGAAGCTACAGTAATCCCTGATAAGAAGGACGAAATAATTGAGGCATTAGTCAAACAAGTGCAACAACTATCGGTCAACTACGTCGCGGCAAGTAACCAACAGGAAAAGGATACGCGTGAAAGAGAAAAGTATATAGAGAACCCCAAGCCCAGGAGGGAAATCGTTTGCTATAGGTGTGATGAGAAAGGACACATTGCTAGATATTGTATGTTGGAAAAGAAATCTAAAGGATCCAGTGAAGCAGAAAGAACACAAACAGAAAACGTTAGTAGGATAAACTATTGCGAAAATGAACTATTAGTGGTGGATAAAAGAAAGCAACAAGTACAACCGGACACCCCTGAAAAAAGACGAAGATTGCAGCCTGAATCGAAGTGGGATAATAGACTTCGACCTCGAGCAGAAAACGAACCGCTCTTAGTAGACGTTGGAGACCCATTACAGCTATGGAGTTAGAAGAGGCACGAACGGTCAAGAAAATAAGACGAAAACGGGAGCCTTCAGTGATAGATAAATTGACCCCATATAATGTGATAAATGATATATTATCTTTACCAGTTAAAGCCACGATAGGGCAGATGCTGCAGTACCCGAACCAAAGAAGAAATCTGGCCCAAATCCTACGCCGACCCCTTGTAGCTCGGGAACCCCAAACGACCCCAGAGGCCCAGGAAACTTAGGTGGTGAATTTTAGTGACACCCATAGAACCACTGCTGCTCATTGCTATATCAGGGTTAAAGGGAACCCCATCCGAGCTGTGCTGGACTCGGGCGCAGCCGTAAGCATAATCACCAAGAAACTAATAGACAAATTAAAGCTGAAGATAGATAAACCATCATCAACAGTGGTAATTACAGCTACCGGGACGAGGACGCGTGCGTTAGGCCAAATTGAAGACGTAAAAATAGTCATCCAAGATATACTCCTACCTAGCACTTTCCAAGTAATTGAATCTGCGGATGAAACATTGTTACTTGGTAATGATTGGTTCCATAGAGCACAGGCGCGGATTCACTTTGATGAACAAAAATTGCTCCTTAAGCATGACGGCAGAAGAATTGAGGTACCCATTTCCAATAGTGGAACAAAAAAATTGGAAGTACCGGAAGAAAGAGATCAACTCGATAGTGACAGCGGAGATGAGTTTGGCGAATATACCTACGAAAATGAAGAATTAGTTGAAGCGGAAGGATATTATACAGAAGAGACCAGCGAAGAAGACAATGAGTTGTTTTATAACCCCTGGGAAGAAGTAACGAGCCCGGCAATATACCTGATGAGTATAGAAGAAGTACTGGCCCAGGAAGATACGGAAGTAAAACTCACTGTAGAAGAACAGATAGAAAAGTTCCTACAAAACGACGCCCTAGACAAAGAAGAGAAGGAAAAGGCAGAAACATTTTTTCAGAAAGAAATAAACATATTTACCAATAATATGCAGGGTCTCAGTAAAACTACTGTAACAAGCCACCGGATCGATACTGGCGGGGCCAAACCGATAAAGCAAAGAGCCTACAGAGCGGCACCGAACGAACACGAGTTTATAGAACAGGAACTAAAAGAATTAGAAGAAAGAGGTTTGATTCAAAAGTCCAGTAGCCCGTGGGCTTTGCCCGTAGTCATGGTCCCAAAGAAAGGTGGGAAGCTACGCCTCTGTATAGATTATAGGAAGTTAAATGAGGTTATGAGACAGGACGTGTACCCACTGCTAAGAATAGATAACCTATTGGAGACCTTTAGTACTGAAAGTTGGTTCACTAGTTTAGACCTAAAGAGCGGATACTGGCAAGTGAGAGTCGAAGAAGAAGACAAGGAGAAGACGGCCTTTATAACATGGAGTGGATTGTACGAGTTTAATGTTATGCCATTTGGCTTGTCGAACGCGCCAGCCACCTTCTAGCGCCTAATGGACCGTGTCTTGGAGGAGTATATTGGGGAGTTCGTGGTCGTGTATATCGACGATATTAATATATATTCAAGAACGTTTGACGAACATTTGGGCATCTAAAGAAAGTATTTGATAAGTTGGCCGAAGCGGGATTAAAAATCAACGTTGAGAAATGCGATTTTTTTAAACCTACTATCCATTTCCTCAGACACATAATTGGAAGGCAAGGGATACAACCTGACGAAAGTAAAGTGGAAAAAGTAAGAAATTATCTAATACCAGGTACACTACGCCAGTTAAGGAGGTTCATCGGCCTAGCGTCATATTATAGAAAGTTCATACCCAGGTTCACTGCAGTCGCAAGGCCTCTATACCAACTACTACAAAAAGGCGTTAGTTTTGACTGGGGACAAGAGCAACAAAAATCATTTGAGGCATTAAAAAATTACCTGACTACGGCAACCATTCTTAAATACCCCGATTTTAATGATATGTTTTACTTGTACACCGATGCATCCGGAACTGGGCTGAGAGCTGTCTTGGCGCAAAAAGGAGAAAAAAAGAAGGAGCATGTGATCTCGTACGCTAGCTGCAGTTTATCTAAAGCCGAAAGAAACTATTCGGCATGTGAATTAGAATGCCTAGCAGTCATTTGGGCAGTAGAATACTACCACCATTACTTTGGCTTTAGGCCATTCGTAATAATAACGGACCACTCAGCACTAAAGTAGTTGCATAGTACGAAGTTAAAAGGGAGAAGGGCACGATGGATACTCCAATTACAGCCATATAATTACACGATCCAGCATAGGTCGGGAAGTACACATTGGAATGCGGATGCATTGTCCCGAATAAATGGAACAGAAGAGGAAATTGCGGAGGCATATATGGTTGTAGGAGAGAGTAATAAGCAAGAATTAGAAGAAGGGGACGAAAATCGAGTAGATAAAAAAGAAGCTGACTCGCCTGAGCTTAACGAAGAGATATACGAAGCAAGTGCTCGACCAACCACTGTGATTTCATATGAAAAGGTGGGAACTGCCTATCAAAAAAACCTAGAATACATGGGCCCAAGTAAATCGTATAGCAATACCTACCAAGTATATTATCACCCAGCCAATTTCGAGCATCTTGTGCTGGAATTATTGGATCGTAGAAAAGCAATCTACCTAATGAAATACCATGGGTTTAACCTAGTAGCGTTAGAACCCAAAAAGTTGTTAAAATTGAGGGATTGGATAACTGCTGGGACCAAACAAGAGTTAATTAGAAGAGGATACTTACATGACACAGGAATTGACCTAGGATATATGGAACTGCTGAATATCCAAGCAATCGAGGCCGAAAGAGCTGCCAACCAAAGAAGTGACCGAAAGCCGATTAACCTGGAATCGATAGAACTAGAAAGCAAAAATTAGGCAAACATATATAAAAAGATAATAAAAAAAAAAAAGTACAATACTGTAAACCATCTAAATCTGATGATAAATCCAATCCAGCCCAGGTAGTCGGTGTCCTGGCATAAGAAAACTTGAAATGGAAGCAGACAACTACAAACGATTAAAACGATACTTACAAGAAGGATACGTCGACAGCAAACTAGATAAGAAACAAAAGAGACAATTGATTAATTCTAGTAGATCGTTTTTATTAAAGGATGGTCTACTATACAAGAAAAACAAGAAAACTCAAGACCAACCTTTGAAAGTAGTACGAAAGCACGAAATCGACCCCATCCTGTTATTGACGCACGATCATTCACTTGGAGGACACTTCGGAGCAAAAACAATGTTCGAAAAAATCCGCAAAACGTATTACTGGCCACAAGCGTTCGAGTACGTAAGGAGATACATACAATCATGCGAAAGCTGTCAAAAGAGGGGAAAGAATAAGTATGAAGGACCCTTACAACCAATACCGTAATAGCGCCTTTCTATAAAGTGGGATAGATATTATCAGTCCACTCCCGATTACGCCTCGAAATTCACGTTACATTGTCGTAGCGACCGATTATATAACCAAGTGGCCAGAAGCGAGGGTAATTTCAACCACTGATGCTCAAATTGTGGCAGATTTCATATTCGAAGATATCATATGTAGGCATGGATGCCCCATGAAATTACTATCCGACCGTAGCACCCACTTTAGGAATAAACTGGTTGATAAGTTGTTAGAAAAGTTCTGAATAAAGCGCCTATTAACGACACCATATCAGCCCCAAACCAACGGGTTGGTTGAAAGATATAATAAGACCCTGTATGAATTTATCGCAAGGTCAGTAGATGACGTTAGTGACTGGGACCTGATTATACCCGCGGTATTGTTTGCATACCGTACCTCCAGACATGCAACCACCAAAAATACCCTATTCTATTTGATGTATGGAAGGGAAGCTCGACAGCCAATCGATTTGGATGATCTATTAGAAGGAACAATAATACAAAGGACGTTTCAATTGTTAGAAGATTTACTGATAACACGCCATGAGGCTGTGGTAAGGATCCAACATGCACAACAGAAACAAAAAGCACGACATGATCGAAAGGCCTGTTTCCCACCTAACCTGTCCATTGGTGATAAAGTCTTGTTATACCGAGCCTCGAAAAAGTATAATAGAAGCGTGAAGTTGGAACCAAAATGGGATGGTCCGTTTTATGTCTATCAGATACTAAAACAAGATGTGTATAAGTTGAGAACCATAGAAGGAAGGGTCCTAAATACACCATTTAACGTTGCACTGCTGAAAGAGTACTATGATCGTCACCAAAAAAAAAAAAAAAAAAAAAATCAGACAAAGAAAGGAAAAACAAAAGGGACCCGGAAATTATAGATGAACTGCCAAAAAGACGAAAGACTTTTAAAGAAGATCAAGAGTAAGAAAGAAATAAAAAGGAGACGAAAATGTGGAGGAGAGAGAGTAAAAATTCGCAGATCGGCAAAATCCAATCTTATATACCCGAAATGGTTAGAAGTTTAATTACGTTGGATGAAATTGTCGATGACATCACTCGATCGGAACCTGTTGAAATAACCCCGATGCCGCCGCCCTACAATGGCTCACATGATCTGGCGAACCGTGTATCTTTGACATGTCCACTACTTACTCGATCTATTCGGTTACGGGAAAGAATCAACATCTTGGTATACTCCTACTACTTGGGAGCGATCTTTGCAGAAGCGACTCCAGCACAGAAGAGATTACTTCGTGAAATAGTTACACCCTACTATTACACCGTCGCTCTAAAGGTTTATGATGTCTTCGTAGTTGTCGGAATGGACCAAATATACCACACTACGAGAGTAACCTACCAGGATCTTAGAGTTTTAAGCATTGACGACTTAAAGCGAGTTAACATGAGAAGCTCGTGGAACTCGCCTTTAAACGGGGGCGAAATGTGAGGGCGGAAAAATGTGACCTAATAATTGCTGCGCCAACTCACGTTACCCGGTTTTGACGATCGTTAACCAAAAAAGGAGTTGCCGGCGATATATTGAATATAACGAAGAAATTAGCTATACCCTGGATAACCAATATAGCGAAGATAATCGATATAATCGATTTAATAGAGATAATAGTTTTGTTAGTTATGAGAGAGATATCAGTTTTATTTGTTATAGCCCATATAATAGTTATAGGAGATATAATAGTTTTATTCGTTATAATCAATTTAATAATTTTAATAGATATAAGGGATATAATGATTATAATAAGTACTAAGTAAAATATATTATAAATAAAGGCGTTATCGCCCCAAGAAAAAGGACGCTTGGCTTTTGCTTCAAAAAAAAAAATAATAAGTCCTATGCTTTATTAATTCGCCCATAATAATATTACATAAATTGCCGCTACACTAATACACTACCCTAATAACCTTAATAACGTTAATAAAATCATTCGCTTATTACTTGATCACGTGACTTAACCGACCCACTTTCGTTGACCAGGTAACTGAAGCCTTAATCACCCACTGGCCAAATCTAACACGCCTCTTTCGTAAGGTTAATTCCATCGGTTACGCAAGTTTCTGGATAGCGGAGCGACCGAGTCGCAGTTATTCCGAACCCAACAATTTCTACCTTATATTAATCTAAAATTCAAAAGTTATAATTTTTTGTATAGCAATATTATTTTCAAATTGAGGCTCATAACTAATAATATATTTTTAAAATAATTATATAAATTATATAAATTATTAGAGGGTGAATATAGAGATTTGCTTGATATATATATTAGATAAAATTTAAAATCGAAAAATATTAATTTTTTTTAAAAAAATGCTAGTTTGTAAGTAAAAGGTTCAATTAATTATTTATTTTATCAAATCTGAATTCTATAATAGACTATAGCTAATATGTTCAAATATTAGACCGTAAGCATAAAATTATCAATTAATATTTATATTAAAATACATATTAATATCTTAAAATAACTTTTAAATTATATTCATTGTTAAGAATAATACTGAAATTAAAACTTATTGGCTGATTATTCAATCTTTAACCAATCAAATTATTAATTTCAGTATTATTTGTATTTATTTATTTGCAAAAATTAATTTAATAACATTTTAGTGGGTAAATATAATAAACATAAAAAAAAGAGATATATTGTTATACAAATAATCATAATTGTTATATAAACTACTAGAGGGTATGTATAATTTAGCAGTATAGTGCTTTTGAATTTTGTTAAATTAAAATTTTAAGGCACACTAAAACAAAATTAATACTTGAATAATTTAAATTCTAGCTAGTAAGTAAAGGTTACTATATTTTATTATCAATTCTGAGTAAATAATAATAATATGTTTTAAATATTTATATAAGTCAATTCGTGAGTAAAGTCATTTATAAGATCAAGATTTACAATTAATTAATATTAATATATCTTTTAAATAAATATAAAAACTGCAGCAAATAAATATACGTTCAAGTTGCATTTTTTAAATTAGATTTTGATAATTAATATTTGCGATTATTATATAAACAACCAAAAAGTGAGTATATTTATTTTTTAAATAAGTTCATGATAATCTGTATTAATCATTTAAAAAATTATTGAGTTATAATTCATATTTATTCATATAATGTTAAAAATTACTCCTGTTTATTACATTAAATTTTTAGGGGGTAAGATAAGATTAAATTATCTATTAAATTTACTGTAAAAAACTTTATTAGCATTAAATAATATGTAAATAATAATTATAAACCAGTGAAACGTAAGTACCAATTTATTATATTTGGAACCCCAAAATTTGTATATATTAAATAACACCATTCAATAATCAATAAAATACCAAATTGCTAGGACGTAAGTATAAAATTCTATTATTTTGCAAATTAGAATTTTAAGTAAAATCAAGCAATAACTTATCAAATTATAAAAAATTATTAGAATGCAAGTATAATAATATTCCTTATAGACCTGGGTTTTTATAAATAAGATTAAATTATTGTATATACAAATAAATTAATATCATAGGACGTAAGTATAAATTTGAACAATTTAATTATTAAAATTCGGATACACTTTTTAATTATTTATATACATCAGGGTGTGAGTTTATATTGCTTATAAATCAACGAATCGACATTAGATAAAGAATACCAACTCTCACATTAAATATGAGCTTATAATGAAGCTAATTAATTTTCTTACTATAAACAATTACACAAATTTTAGTGAGTAAGTATATTTTTTATTATAAATTCAGAACCAATATATGCTTTGAAATTTTAATAATGTACAGTAAAGAGAAATTCTATTTCGACTTGGGTTAAAGTCATCCGAAATATTACGAATACTAATAATTTTTTAGTTACGTAAACGACATTATAGTTTATTGGGTGACTTTAACTCGGGTGAAAATAGAATTTCCCAATAGTAAACCTCTATAAGGGCATGCTCTGAGAACGGATGTATATGAGTATTTAAAGTACTATATCGTGGCTAAATTTCTCTATATGCACTTTCTTAGAACCAAAAAAAACGTCTGAATTTATAGTGTGCATTCATAAAAAAGATTGTGAAGTTCTTATAATTTGGAAACAGAATATGCAATATGTTTACAAGAGAGAGAGATATTTAGTACTAAATCTCAAATTCGAAACTAAAACCGTGTTCTTACAAGAGCATGCGCTTATAGAAGATGCGCCTATAGCACTTGCCGTGATTAAATTTGATTGGTTAATTTTATTAATCATTGTCCCACAATTTTACTTAAAAAAAAAAGAATATAGTCATTGGATATGAAGCAGTCAATAACGGGAGTTATTTAAAATATACTCAGTATCCGCTGTGAATTTACTATGGCATTTCTGGGCCCGAAGGGACCCAGAAATGACATTAAATTTGCTGTCATTTATTGGTTGCGTAGCATTCAATAACGGTATCCAGAACCGAGCCAACTGAATAATAGCAGGAGGAACCATCGATGTTACGCAATTAATACCACACCTGGTATGCAGTATTTATAAGATATTGGTCATGCAACGACTAATATCATGAAATTTGTTTTGTCGTAGCAAATGATTGGTTGACATGTGCCGCGTAGCGGCACGTTTCAGCCAATCATTTGCTCCGACAGGACAAATTTTGTGATACTAATCGTTGCATGATCCAATATCGATGTTATCGTGCAATTATGATCATGATTTACGAGTCGTGGTTGGCTGAGTTTTAATTCGTGATTGCTGTGACTACGTAATAACGTACAAAAAATAACAAGAAGAAAAAAAATCTATGACTATAAGAGTTTGCACGATAACTTATAATTATTCTGTTGGTATGATTATAGCTGCTGCTGGATAAACTGAGTTTATTTCAACGATAATTTAATAAATTTTAAAGAAAAAACTTAAATATTTTATGTAACCATATGCAAAATTTGATGCTGAACATTTTGCTTAAGAGCCAAAAGGTAGTTACATAAGATCTTTGTTTTCTCATTTTTTGTTACTTTTCTTAAAATTTTATTTAGAGTTCTGCATACCCGGAACATTTTCACTTCTTGCACTTGTGCCCGTACCTATTCTCACTTCGTGTCATAAAATTTTTTGTTGGCACTTTTGTGCCCACAGGCCCAAACTTACGTAAAAACAAACTTTACGTCTTTATGAGCAGGGTACAAAGGTGCCGGCCTAAAATGGCTTGGTGTCTTGCGCTCATAAGGCATTGGAACGGCACAGGCCCTGGCACCTATATGGTGCCTATGTGGCAGCACGGGCATTTGTAGCCTCCAATTTTATTGCTATTCTTTGACTCTTGAGAAAAATGGTCAATATAAAATTTTATATAATAGCATTTACATAGACTTAGCGCAAAAATGCCATTCCCGATGGATCTTTGTACTGTGCGGGAAAAAAATCGATTTACATACCATTCCTAATAGGGTTCCAAAAAAGGGCCACCAAAATACTATACTACTATAATGAAAATAAGTTAGGATTTCGGTTCATTTTTAGAACCCTATCAGCAACTACTCAAATAATTTTTTACGCCATCAAGATTGGTATTGTAAATCCATCAGGAATAGTATTTTTGCACTTTTAGCAGTTTTATTAAAATTTATTATATTATCACAAAAATAACCAAAATTAGCCAATCTCGTTGAAATGCGATAAATAATGCTGTATCTAGATTTATTATAAATTATATTCAGAAATTGTTAATTAATAATCATTCAAATAATTACATAACTATCAGACCGTGAGTATGAAGTTAATTAGATATTAAACCGGAATCTCATAATAAATTGAACTTAATTTGAAACCAGTTTGTAAGTATAATATTCATATTTTCAATTGAGAATATTATAATGAATAATGCTAAGTAATTATTGCTTAAATTATATGATTATTAGCTTGTAAGTAAAATTTGATTGCATTTATTTACAAATCCGAATTCACTATTAATTAATCAATGCTATTGTATTAATGATTTTAGCGAGTTAGTAAATTTTATTAAAAGCTTAGTATATATGCATTTAAATGAATTAGATTGAATATTGGTTGCATTATTTAGGCGGTATGTATGAAGTTCGATCATATTTCATAATTTTGCTCAATATAATACTCATTACATAAATTACATACATGTAGAAGGTAGATATAAATATCAACTTGTTATTTATCAAAACAGAATTTAATAATCTTAAATTATATTCAAACAATGCAAATGCTAGCTAGTTAGTATAAATTTAATTATATCTATTCATCAATTAATTAAATTATTAAAAATCCATAATAATAACACTAAATAATATTGTATTCCTCAAAATGACTATAGCGAGTAAGTATAATTTAACTATACTCGTTAGCTGTTAAATACTATTTACTAAAATGATTAACATAAATATCAGTATGTAAGTATAAATTTATATTAATTATAAAATCAT